GCTGAGTACTGGGATGAGAACCAGTTATTCAGCAGGGWCTACCTGGACCACAGCACTGCTTTGCCCCGGGATGACTGTATTTTACCACTGAATTTTGAATATCCTAATGGTGTTGTCTAAAAGAACTGAATATCTTGCAACGGTTTGCCATCAGCMAAGGAGAGGTGTTGCTCAGTGGTGTGCTGTGCTGTGGTTTCGCAATGTTTCCCTCTGGGGATCCGTTTCTGCCCCCACCTGTGGTTGTGTTGCTGTTAGAGGCAGCTGACCTTTCTTGCTGACCTTTCTTATATGTGCCAGAGCATGGTTTTGGCTCTCGGGCATCAGATGTTTTCTCAGAGTTTTGAGGGTTTTTTTGTTTGGGTTTTGGGKKTTTTTTTTTCCCTACTACATCAAATGGTATGCTGTACGGTGACAACACAGAGGATATACTTTGCATTCTTACTGTACARCTGGTGTAGTTGAGAGAGACTGAACATCTTATGTGGTGATGGAGTCCTTGCTGTGTCCTAGCACAGTTTCTTCTCAGAGATATCCTGTACTCCTGCCCATGGTTTAACCAAGGCCTTGGTCTGTCCTGGGATGTCTGCTGTTTACCTAATTTAGAGGATGTACAGGCATTAAAGTGGTCCTTTCATGCAGGCCCAGTTCTGGAGCAGACTGGAAATATTGGTGCTTCTCTGTCAGCCTCAGTGCTGCATCCAGCTTTAATGGTGGCCAACAGAAATGGGACAGATGGCAGAAATTGCTCTTTGATGATTGACTTAGTCYGCTGCACGTGGTAGAACACCATACTGCCTGTCACCAGAGTGTCCATGGAGGGCTCCCAAAACACATGTGCTGGCTGGGGACTGGGGAGCTCATGTGCTGAGGGCAACGGGGACTTTTGCATGCTTGGGAGGAGCCAAGGTCCTTAGGCTCTGCCTGCACCCATTTTACTACCTGAAGGACTTACGTGGATCAAGTAGGTTCTTTAATCCAGATCTCCTCCAGAGTTATGTGGGGAGAATGAAAACTGGAGGAAGAACTGCAGCTTGAGCCAGAGCCACCCAGGACTGAATAGAGAGCATCCTTCAATCCTTAGCAGCCAGGCTRATGGTATTTCCAACCTTCTGTCCCCCTAGAGTGTCAGAATGTTACATCCAATGAAATCAGAAAATAAAATCGTTTGAATTTAACCTGCCCTCAGTAATCACATATCCAAATTTATTTTACAGCTGTGGTACTGTAAAAAGCACTGATCTTTGTAATGGCAGAGGCAGCTGCCAGTCATCAGTGATTTTTGCCCATCTGCTGTACAGATACCACAAGGAGTTCCATGGTGCTTAGATAAATGATAAGTGATGTCCACACATTGCCTCCCCAACAATGCAGCAATGCGAGATTAGCTAAATTAAGGGTGAAATGAAAGTGAAATACAGTCAGGAGCCAGCAGCATAAGACACGTTGTCAGGAGCAATTGATCCTGAAAGCAGCAAGGCACGCATTAATATTCACAGGTTGGTCAAAGGATATTTCATTATGATGTATRTCATGATGCATATCAATATGACAGTTATCAATACATGATTTCTTATAKGCCATTTAACTTCTTAGTCTTTCCTTTTGGTGAAAATAAAACAGCATCTCCATGCTCAAGTGAAACCTGTGCYAGCCTCTGCAGGCAGAATCTGAAATACCACACTTTTGAGAGGGTCTGGTTTAGTATAAGGCACTGTCTCATGGCAGGGAGCTCAGTGCAGGGACAGAAGCCACTGCCCCCCTGCTCTCCACAGTGCGGCAGTCCCAGTGCTGTTTCTTTTCCTGGTATGGCTGCAGCCAGAACATGAATTTCCCAGCTCCACTGGGACAGTCCCCAGCCCAGCCTAGGGAAGTGAGCTTTTCCTGCATCTTGCATTCCYAGTTGTGTAATGAGAAAGTGCTTCCTCATCTCAAAGAGACACTGGGAAAAGTCCATCCCAGAAGTGGGCAGGGAGAAGCTGAGAGCAGCAGAGAAAGAAATGGGCTGTGTTTGCATGCACCACTCCYACAGTGGCTGCAGGAGCACCTGGTCACTCGTGGATTTTGCTAATTTCCTTTTACATTTCTGCCAGGGGCTTAAAGAGAGTCGAGGGGAGGAACTTAAAATAGTTAAAATACTCACCTCTTCCCTTAAGAAGTAATTAAATAATCCCTGTGCTGCCACAAATTGATCTTGGTGTCAGGAGCTCTTCTTCAGGGACTCATATAATGCCAATGGTCAAATTATAAATCGTTTATAAAGGGATTTGTCCCTCTGCTGAATGAGCTTGCAGCAGAAGCCCAGACATAGCACATTGGCGGTGGCACCTTCACTGAAGGTCTGTTGCCATCAATCTTAACCTGCTAATGTCATGGTGTTAAAAATACACTGGGTGCAGAATGGCTGGTAAATGCTTTTTTTSTCACCATGAAAGAATGACATCATGGCAGCGATCCAAACCTCATCCCTTYTGCTGGAATGGCTACTGCTCATGCACGAGGCCAGGGCCTTYATCCAAAGAAGCATTTCCTCRTTRCATGGCCCCATGTGTGTTTTTCCTYACCACTGTCAGCTTGTCTTCAAGGAGACACATTGCATGCAGGTGGAAAATCACTTGGGCACCTGCCCTTGCACTGAACTGGAGCCCTCACTACCATGTAATTTAAAACCAAAGTTAAATATTTTTGTTTTTCATATTTAGGAGTGACAAATCCCAGTGTTGTRTTTCAATCAGTGGGAGATTTTCAAGAGTACTTCTTGCTGTATTAGGCTTGTTGTTAACTTGTTTAGGACTACCCTTGTCAAAGGTGCTGCAAAAATCTCATGTATCCCCATGCCTCTCCAGTCCTTCCTCAGAAACTGTGACACTAGAACAGGCTTACCTATGGACAGGCAGGTAAACAGGTGGGGTTATCATGCAATTACACACCCTGGTTTATGAGCCACAAAGATTACACGTGGTGGGGTTATCATGCAAATATGCACCCTGGGTTACAAGCCACAAAGATTACATGTCCCAGACTAAATACTTTCTATTTTAAGATCTAGGTCCTGTTTTGGTTTCAACAACCTTGGCAATGTTAGGGCGGATGAGAAAAATCAGAGTGGRATGCTTTCAGGTTTGTCAGGTTTTCTGCCATTGTTTGCACTGGTGCAAGGATGGGCTGGTACCCTGGGTCATCTCTGACCTCCAGGTTCCGTGGTTGTCCCTAGCAGGGATTAGAAGAGAATGGGGAACAGTGAGTGTGATGGAGCCGTGTGCCTTTGGCCTATGGTTTCTGCACTGGTCCGGTAAACACAGGGCTGAGCAATGCCCACAGTTTGACTGCAAAGCTCCTGCACGTGAAACTGGGGCTTGTTCCTTGAGAAAACACGCTGCCCTGTCCTCCACCTGCCTCACTGCCTGAGACCTGGGCACTAAGGGCGGCTGGTGAAATGCTGATGTGGCTCAATTTACTGGCAAATCTTTAGAGCTTCCCTGGAGCATCTCCATTTTGCAGTGTGCTCCRCCAGGACAGTTCCTAGTGCAGCCTGGGGAAGTGAGCTTTTCCTGCATTTTGCCTTCCCAATTGTATGAGAAAGTGCTTCCTCATCTCAAAGAGACACTGGGAGAAGGAGAAGGGAGCAGGAAGAAGCTGAGGCTGCCGAGGAAGAAATGGGCAGCAGGAGTTGTTTCCCAGCTCGAGGTTGCCCTCTGGCGTATGCAGGAGACTATAAATATTGTAGTTTCTTAAAGTGGGTTTACTTGGCTTTCTCCTTTTCCTAAAGCCTTGCAGCCAACGTGATTCTTCCCTGACGGCTGCCGAGTCGGTGCATTCCATAAAACACCAAGAAGTGACCCCCAGACYAGTCCCGTATGTTGTTCACATTTATACACCCAGCAGCTGACAATCACTTTTTTAATGATACTGGCCACATTCGGCATGTCAAGCAAGGGGCTTCTGGGCCTTGGTGTCTCAGACCCAATTTCCTTCCAGCAGTGCCTGGTAGGTGTCCAAAACCAAACTGCAGCMGGTCCTGCTCCACCTGTGCCCAGGCAGTGCTGCCCCTGCCCTGGGCAGTGTCTCCAGGGACACGCTTGGGGCTCCAGTGCAGAACCATTCCMGGGCCAGGCTTGCATTTCAAACCCTAGGCTCAACAGGGAAACCAGGCTGCAAAGAGGTAGGAGCAGCTTTTTATAAACAAACAAACCCTAGCCCTTTTTTCTTGGGGGAAGGCAGGGCGTTTAGGAGTGGTGGCAGCATGAGCAAACATTGCCATAATTATGTGGAACTGAAAACAGTTGGTAAATGTGAAGCATAAACACAAAAGCTGCAGTAAATACAGATCTTCTCCATATGTAGAGTACTTTATTGGAAAAACTGAGTCATCTTGTCTTGATTATGACATTTGGATTTTATAATTTTTTTTTTTTAATAGTCTCAAAGGTTTTTGTTGGCAGCTGCAGTAACAAATGTGCTGGTAGGTAGCAAAGAATCCTGTTGAATGCTCTGGTCTTGCACTCTGCTGGAGGAAGAGCGGGTGCTCAGGTATTGCAGTGCTTATGTGGCAGCTGCTGCTCATAGTGAAACAGCAAAGTTGKGACATTTTGAGGAATGCAGTCACATGTGGGTCACTCTCTGTATGCCCTTTCTTCTTTACTCCTTGCTCCTTTCCTGCGTTATTTTCCAGCATGAGTCAGTGTATCCTTACTCACTCTTCCCAGAGTTACACCTGTGGTGATCTACCAGGAGGTGGTCCAGGCTTGCAAAGCTACCACGTCCTACCCAGAGGTGAGACTTCTGTCCCGATCCACCAACTGGCATTCATCAGCAGCCACCAGTGGAATACAGTTTGGTGGGCTGGAGTGTGGAGTGTGCTGGGGTTGGTTGCTCTTTTCCAGCTGTAGGGGAGCTGTCCTTAGATGTCTTCATTGTCGTTCATTCTCAGCAGCCAGGTTTTGCTCACAGTTTCTCCCTGCTTTCTGCTGATCCTTTTCTTATCTCTGTTGTTTTTTCCTTAGGTCGAAAGCTGAGAGGAAAAGCCTTTTATTTTGTCAATGGAAAGGTGTTCTGTGAAGAAGACTTCCTGGTAAGCACCCAGTTGACTCTAGATCAAATGTAATGAGACATTTCAGTGTTGCCAGCAGACACACAGCCTTTCTGCTTATCGACTTTGCCTGTGTTTTACACACTTCTGGTCCAGCATTCTGCCTGGCCCTTCTGCYCCAACATTTACCCAGGACCAGCCACAGCCATGGTTGCTGCCCACATATGGTGCTGGATGTAGCTGAGAGAGAGGCCATGGTGTTGTGGCACAGAGTCCCAGGTTGAAGCCATAATCTTTTGTGATGGCTCCTTCASAGCATTGTTTCTGTGGCTATAGTGTGGAGGCAGGAGCAAGATAAATGGCTGTGGAAGAATGAGTGAGGGAATTTCCCTTTTCAGTGGACTGTGTTTGCTTGGGCATCTTAATGGATATATTTCTGTTGTCCTCAATGGATTKTGTGTGACTGTACCTGAGCATGAAGCAACCCCACAGTCCTTTCCTTGGCTAGTGCAGATGAAACACCATATACCCTTCTGTCCCTGAGTCCTGGTAGATTAAGCCTTCATTGAGACTTGAGAAAGTCATATCTGCCTATTTATAGGTAAAGCCTAGTGATTTCTGTGTGARAGAGRTAAGTCAATCTTCTTTCCTCTCATYRGTATATTCTACACTGRCTGAAAATAAARAGACTGATTAAATGCATCTAAAATACTTTATTTTGCAAGTTTGCATTTCCTTCGTTCAGACAGATGATGTGCTGTGCATGAGGTGTATGTCATCAATGTGACAGACAGTTCTTTACCAACAGATCTCAGCAAAAGCAGCAAAAAAGTTGCTCTGGGGCAAATTTGATTGCTAACCTAACAAGAAGCTGGGACAATACCACTGACCTCAAAGTAGCTTCAACAGAATTATGACTGTGTAACCAAAGAAAAATTTGGCTTTCAAGGCCTATATATACAGATACTGKGATGCAAATATGTGATAAATACAAATGGCCTGCCTTGTAGATTCATGTGATCAAATAAGTATGTAGTAAGTCTTTTTAGTAACTGCCTTATTTGCATGTGTATTTATGGTATTTATTTCTATACTTTAAATTAAACTTTAGTTTTGGACTTGGAAGTTACAGGAACTTGTACTCTTCCTGAAACTGGGCAGTCTGGTGTCCTTATAAAAAATCCTCTGGAGACCTATCCACACCTGTGTATAATCAAAAAAAGTTTAGCTTGTGTAAGGAGCACRGAAAAAGGACCAATAACAAATATGCAAATAACACTCCCACAGTACTCTGTTATTTATGCTTCAGTGACCTTGCGAAATTTTAAGTGAATTCTTTTTTGTCCTTGCAGTATTCTGGTTTCCAGCAGTCAGCTGACAGGTGTTTCATTTGTGGTCATTTGATAATGGACATGGTAAGTGATAATTGCTTCAGGAGAAAAAACTCCCACAGTTTTTAGAAGAATGCATCAAAAGCAAAATAYATCCATATCCAATGCTGCCTGTTGTCATCTGGTAGTTTGCCTAGTGTGAGACTGGTATCAGAAAGAAAATCCACTGAGCCTTTTGTTGATACTTTCAAAGAAGTGAGGCTGGCATTCTGCTGTACATGGTGCAGAGGCATTGCTCTGCCTATTTTCAGTAGGTGTTGAAAAGCAGAGCCTATKGCTGTTTCACCCCCTTTCAGGTTTCTCTGGACAGTGTATTTGTAATCCTGTTGATGTTTCCTGCTCAGACATGTCATGSCTCTGCAGTGCTCCCTTGCACCTCTCTCAGCCTCTCTTTCCTTCCTCCAGTCAAGCTGTGGTTTTCCTGTGTCTTCTGGATGAAGTCACTTWTTTGTTATTTTCTGGGGGTGCTGATACTTCGGGGAACAGGTTTGATCCAGGGTGTGTGATCTGGACCTCCGTTCAGATCTATGAAGCAGGATTAGCCTACAGCAGCTACCTCCCATTCCAGATGTTCATGGGGTGGTGGATGCTCAGGGCGTCAGCATTCAGTTGTAGCATGTTCAGAGGGAGACTGGTGTAGCTGGTGGTGAAAGACTACAGCTGAGGCAAAGAAATTAGGAATTTCTGGTTCACAGCATACCTCCCAGCATTTTCTAATGCTTATCATTAATTATCTTTCTTTGCCTGCTTACACTGGAAAGCATTACAATGAGAAAAGCTGTTTCCTGCTAAGAAGTCTGATCCCTCAACTGATGGACCATGGTGTTCCAGGTATTGCTGCCCCCAAAGGTGAATTGCAGGTGTTGAGTTCAATGCAGTTTCCATAGTCTGTGCTAATAAGAAAGCCAGGCTAGTGAATACACAGCTCTTCAATATCTAAGGGATTATGAGAACAATAATATTACTGTCAACTTCTYGTGGAGAATATAAAAATGTATTTCCTTTGTTCAGCTAGTATATCTTGCGTTGTGATCTCGCTGCTAAGTATTCTCTACCTTCAGAAATTATTTTCTTTCCTTTAAATTCTGTCACTTCTGTCCTTTGTCATGCTAAATACCTTAACTTAGTCTCTAAATTGTTTTCTTACCCATGCTAAAAATTACTTTCTCTGGAACCAGGTGCTCAGTATTGATTCCAGCAGCCCTTTCCATCCTTGTTAGCTGATTTTTCAGATGAGATGGGGAAAAAAGGCACAGCCCTCTTGATGAATGTGCAGCATTATCTGATGTAAAGCTGTGTGTTTATTATTTTCACCTTTATTGGCTCTTCATGTKCATTTTTTCTCTCTCTTGGTCTGTTGCAGATCCTGCAGGCTCTAGGGAAATCATATCATCCGGGCTGCTTCCGATGTGTCATCTGCAACGAGTGTCTGGATGGTGTGCCATTCACTGTAGACTCTGAAAACAAAATCTACTGTGTCAGAGATTACCACAAGTAAGGGCAAAAAASCCAGCAGAGATGTTCCAAGCAACAAGCCTCTAATTTAGCTTTTCAGTTCAATGGGAGGGCAGATTAGTAAAATAGGGACAGGGTTAGGAGTTTGAGGATGGAGCTAGACCCCAGAAATTCCTCACCTCTCATCCAGCCATTGACTCCTGTGTAACTCTGCTGAAGTCAAATAACCTATGGGCTTCAGCTGCCCCTTCTGCAAGCAAAGGGAGTGAGAAATAGGGCTCCTGAARTGTTCAGTGATGTACAATATTAGTCTGCTTTAAGGTAAGCCTGTGAATGCCTGTGGAAATCAATGTGATTTACTTTTTGAGTAGTTGAAGGGCTGAATATGACTTTTAAAGAATCACCACTGAACCTGCAAAGCAAAACAAAACTTTTACCCCACGGCTGATAAATCCACTTTAAAAATCACTTCTTATTTAGACAATAAAATAAAATGGCTGTGCTCTTAGCTGGTAGTTATGATATTAGAACTGCATACATTTTGTGTGTCCTTTAGGCTTGCTTTGGTTCTTGCTCCATTTTCTGAGCAGTGAGAGTATAAGCGTTGCTCAGGCAGCCCGGAACTGTTCTGTGTTGTGCCAAGATTAGAGTTGTTACAATTCTGTTGCCAAGATTAGTGCCCTTGTATGCCATTGTTTTTCTGAAATAACGCATATTTCCTTGCAATTTAATTTAATTAATTGTTGTGCTATAAGGCCTTTAGAAGCCACACAGTCCTGTGCTATTTTCTCAGAAGTTTCCTGCCCTGAGGCTGCCGTTTCTTTTGATGTTTTTTCTGGGGACAGTCCTGCTCAGTTCCTCATTAGTTCCTCCAAATTTCCCAGTAGCAGCCGAGAATTTTATAGGGAAATATGTATTTTTTCTGGCACTACGTGTAAAGTATAAGGTCTCTTTATGCCTGATTGAACATTACTTAAAATCAATGCTAAAATGAATTTATGATCTCAGGATGCAAAGCTTTCCTGTGRATAAGTCATTTACAGCTGCAGTTTTTCATGTTATCGCTGAGAACAATACAGGCCTCTCTTTTTATGTTGATCCATAACTTGACTTCCATTTCTCATTGCTCTTCCAGAGTTTTAGCTCCAAAGTGTGCAGCGTGTGGACTTCCCATTCTGCCYTCTGAGGTGAGAGCTTTTTATTCCGTATCCCCTCGGGGGAGGAGTGTCAGGCCTTGCTCTCTTTCACATTTGACCCTGTGTCAAGACAAATGTGCTTGTGGATGGGGAGAGATGGCTGCTTCCTCTGGAGTACAACCCCTTGATCAAAGCTCATGCACTGTTCTTGAGATGTGACCTTTCTTTTGTTCAGTGATAAAGCTTATTCTTCCTAGGTCAGGCTGCTTTTTTCATATGCTGCAGGATGATGCTGCTGCTGGTTTTATGTTCAGGGTAATTTTCTTCATGTCAATAGATGCTGGTGGTACTCACGAATTACCTCTGTGTGACCACTCTGGAACTATCTCATTTTACTACTTGGAGGAGATGAATCTTGGGCAAAACGAATTTAAAATGCTATTAAAATTATCAGATAAATAATTGGTGATTTCTGATAGATGTTACTGTTAAAGAACATTTTTACGTTTCTGGTGTCACATTTTAGAGGATATCTGCAGTCAGTTGATGATGAAGCTTTACTGTAAAAATAACTGCAAGTGGCAAGATTTATTTGTGGTCTCCAACCAGCTGCACAAATGCATTTCCTCAACATTCATTTTGTTGCAGGAAGCAATCTACAGAGTGCATGTGTCTGATCCTGCTGTAATCCTTTGTAATTTCTGCTTTGCTCAAATGCTCACAGGGATCRGATGAGACCATTCGGGTCGTGTCCATGGACAAGGATTACCATGTGGAATGTTATCACTGTGAGGTAGGTCAGCTTTTCTCAGGGAGTGGGCACTTCATAGTCGTAACTGCTGTTATTTTTAAGTAAATGAATATCCTGCCTTCCAGTGGCAGTAGATGAGCAATTCAAACCTTGCAGTGTGAGACTCTTTCTGTCAGAAATTTCTCAATTTCTGATGAATTATCAGATTGAGGACAAAAGTTTTTGCTGCAATGTGCTCCATTTGCAGTTCCATTTGCTATCCATAAAGTTGCAGACGATGAGTTAATTACTGCTTTTCAAACTTGGCAGTTTATTTGTTRATGAAGGAAGCATGGTGACTTAGTAAGGTCTATTGCTGCTGCCTTTCAGAAGCTCGAGCTCCAGATCACATTAGTGTATCTGATTTCCAAGTAAGATTGTTCAAAAATGCTAAGTGGTGACTGATCCTGTGGGGTGTGAGTTACCTTCACTCTCATGGGAAATGAATATGTCATTGRGGCTGGAGAAAGGATATGGCTGCACAAGAAAAAATGCCAGGAGATGCCAGCTCTTCAAAACCACTTGATCTCTGCAGTCCCAGAAAGGCTCCATACTACTGTGTTGTGGATTAAAATGAATAGTTGTCTTTTCTCACTGTGCTCATAATACAGTGAAAAGAGGCCCTTACTCCACAGGCTGATTTCACATCAGTACAACTGTAATGTGAAGAGGTGAATCCTACCTGAGAGTGTAAGGAGACACGAGCATGTTTAAAATACAGAGGGTTGCACCTTACCACAAGATAAAACGTATTCAATAAAATTGCTTTAGACAAATTTGTACAAGGCTGCCCATCAAAATGCTATGTCAGATGTTTTTCTTCTCATGGTACATGCTGGATCTGTTAGGAAGGAGCTGTTGGCTGGGTGTCTTCTGTCCTTGTCATAAAATCACCTTCCTGGGGGCCAGAGCCCCATTGCCACTGGGAGATGAACACAAGCTCTAATAATTTGCATGGCCTCTCTTTGCAGGACTGTGGGATGGAGCTGAACGATGAAGATGGGCATCGTTGCTACCCACTGGATGAACATTTGCTTTGTCACTCCTGTCACCTGAAACACATAGAGAATGGCACAACCCCAGCAGCTGCCTACCAGCACCACTACTAGTTAGCACAGCCAGCACTGGAAAGCCAGGACAGAAGACAAGATCTCCCTCTCCCCACCCTCAGTCAGTTTCCTGTGCATGTTTTTCGCCAGTCAGGAATGTTCCTGCACAAGGATATGAGAGATTATTGCTGGATTTATGAAGTTTGTATTCTTGTGGGTTTCAGCTGCATCACACCATGTCTACTTGACCAAGAATGTGGCATGTTATCTAAACTGATCAGTTTACTTTTACGTGCCTTTTTCTGCCACCTGGAGATTCTTCTTGGCTCATTTTGGAAGATTCTTCYGTGAAAGCACAATTTGCTCTCGTGCCTATGAACTCAGATCGTGCCATGCACTATTAAAAAGCCAGAGGCTGCCTTGCCTGCCGGGGGCATCCTGTCAGTCTACTGTTTCCTGACAAGCACATTTCATCAGGTTCCCTGAAGGGCATCAACCTATTAGTACCAGTTTTTTAGACACTCTCTCCTTTTATTAATTTTTTAGGAAAAGAAAAAGGTCTGTGCAAAATGGCACACTCAGACCTTTCTGTTAATTCCATGAACTCCAGTGTCAAGTCTGGCTATAAAAGTACCAACTCTTCAAACACAAATCAGGCAATGCTGTCTGGCAACTGCAGGCTGACATCCCATTTCAAACAGAACAAAAAACTGGAACAAGCTAGGCTAAGCTACTGCAGTGACTTGGGGCCCAGGCTTGTGTGTCAGCATTACATACAGGGGCCARTCTGCTGTGTCAGAGTCTGAACAGTATTTGGAAAGGAAAGGTCAGGATGCTGAAAGCGTGGACATGGGGAAATCCATCCTCATTCTTGCTTGCAGAGTTTGCTTTGGAAAAAAGCTCTCCATACACAGACAGTTGCCTGAGTTTTCCAGTTTGTCCTCACAGCTCAGCCCTCAGCCTTGCTATTCCTTTTCATGTTTACCCAGCATAAAGCCATTTCATAGTGGTGCTTATTTAGAGCTCGGGGAGCGAACTCGAGATTGTTACAAAGGCTTTGTTGCACAGGGATTTAGAGCCCAGCTCCACAGCCTGAACTCAGATGAGTATGTTGACATAAAYACATTTGCTCCCATGAATAATAACAGTTTATCTGAGCAAGGGGTTAGAGAGTTTGGGCCTTASTTTCCATTCTGCTGAGAAAGCAGGAAGGAAAATTGTTTCTTTTCTTGACCCTCCCTGCTTTATAGTCAAAGAAATCTGCTCCCCCCATGTGTGCTACATGTATGATAGGTGTTTCTGCAGTGCATGTCCTGTAGCAGGCAAAGCTGTGCAGTTCCTCATGTACTGGTACTTTAGTTTAAGAAAAAGCTCTTCATTTAAAGCCTCCGATGCAGTTGGGGATCTTAACTACTCCTGACATTTTGTGTGGAAAACTAGTTAAATCCTCATGTATCTTACGTTAGCATTTGTTTCTGACTGGCAAAGGATGGGATGGCATTCTTGAAGATCTTTTTAGTGAGGAAACTACAATAAATTAACTGAGCAGCGGCACTGGGACTCCCAAAATGTGCCCATGCTGAGRACCCATTACAGTTCAACCAAACCTCTTTTCCAGTAGCATGGATGTAGCTTGAACTTCACTTGATATAGTCAGACAGCAATGTGTACCCATCTGGAGCAGCACAGGTGTCAGGTAGCTGCTACAAGTTACCTGTCTCTGTGCTAATAAATCATCTTGCCATGGCTGAAATGTGAAACTGCTCCAGTGTCAGGAGCTTGGTGGGCTTGGCATGGAGTTTCATGGTGCCAAATGACCTTCCAGCCCTCTGCCTCATTCAACCRTGAGTGCCTCTGCCTATTTCTGCTTCTCTTCAGGATGGGGATGGCAGCTTGGGGCTGGAAGCTGGTCCTACCTGGAATCCATCCAGAGCTTTGATGTAGCTTGGCTCTGCAGCACCATTTTTCCTGGGGAGATGCAGTACCTGAAGGCTCAAGGGAGGGCACTTTACCACTGTGAAATATATCTTCTGAGAGTTTTACCTGTGATTTTAGAGGAGGTAAAATTGACCCCAAATATGTGAGCCCCTCTAGAGCCTTAAGTTTAGCCTCCAAATGCTGGTTAGTGAAGGGATGGGAGCCGACACAAAATATAACCAATGCTGCATCCAATCAGGATGGATTGGGGACAACAACAGCCAGGGCAGATCCCATAGTGCTCTCACCCTAATGCATCCCATCAGCTTGTGTCCTGCAGCACAGCTAGGCTGGAGYGGGGAGAGGGTGTTCAGGGTGTGACTGATCTTAGGACTGTATGAAGGGACTGAGGTGGAAAATAACACCAGTTCACAATCCCTAGTAAATAATTCACGTAGTCCTGGGCAAGTGGTTCCCCACCCTGAGCTGCTTTTGGCAGCAAARGCAATGAGATATCAAAGTGATTTTTGGAAGTGAGCTGTAAACACCAGCCTTGGACATCTGTGCCTGTCTCTGAGAGACCAGCTGCTCTGTGGCTCATGCTTTTGCTACCTCTTGATTTTTTAGAGCAAGCCCTTGTGCACATTTTTTGGCCTTCATTTTGCAAAGATCTGAAACCACTAGTGGGACTGGTATTTTCTTTATTTAAACTGCTGTTTAAACCTCTGTCTCACCCTTGCAGCCTTCTCCGCAGCCTCGAAATAAGCAGGAGAGAAGGGGATGGGGAAAAGGACAATTATCCTTCGTGGAAAGCCTCAAGCAGGCAGTTAGTGGCAAGCTGTCTGGCAGGAGCTCTCTTTGCATCACCAGGAAGTCTGGCCTCTGCTCCTACACAGTGTCTTCTTACTCCTGTCAGCCATCCTGTATCCCTCAGTGCTGGGAAGATGAAGGCTGCCCTACTTCCACTTTTGAGGTCCCCTATAAATTATTAAATGCCAGCACTCTCCTTTCCTGTATTTACAAAGAGCTGGAAATGACAGTGTGAAGCTGTTGAAAAAGGAGCCTGTGRGCTTGTGGGTTTGAAGCTAAAGCATCTACTGCACTGCCCTACACCCCTATGTGTGCTAACTTGCACTGCTTCTATCTTTGGGAGTTCAGATTTTTTTTAAGCTCAGTATTATTTCTCCYAGGCTGTGAATGTCTGAGTCCTTGTTGATTTTTCCCAGTTTGTCCCCAGCTCAGTGGGTCTGTCATGGGGGGGATGCAGGGGCATCCTGCACAGGGGAAACTTCTCCTCCTGACCCTCAGCCCTTGCTGCCTGCCTTCAGGCAGCTCCCCCAAAGGGAAAAACAGCTCTGCAGCTGGAAGTGTGAGGCTTTGTGTCCTCTGCAGAAGAATTTTTAAAAAAACCCATGTTAAATTCGACCTATCTCCTGGCTGACACACGTTGGGTTTTGCTGTTCATGTGAACCTTGTTGCSTTTTAATTTACTAAGATGCTATGAAAACATGCTATGAAAAGTTAGTCTTGATTCCTCCCCCAGCGAGTTCTTCTGACTGGTTTTAGACTAAGGGACCCTTGGAAGTCCCATTGTGCTGTTAATGAGTAACTCTCATGCAAATAGTTGTTCAAGTGAATTCCCTGAAGCCTGCTTTCAGGACTAGAGCTTAAGAGATTTTTTCATTCAGATCATGCTGTTAAATTTCTATTGCTTAGAATACAGAAACTCATTTAAATACGGATTTTTGCATAAGAGCCGGGGGAAAGACCCAGCTACAGAAGCAGCAGCAATTTTTGTGTAATTTRAAGGGTAAGAAACACCTGTGATCAAAGCAATTTAGGAAACTGCCCTGATGTTAAAACACAGGAACAGCAATTTCAAACATTCTGGTGAGGAGTGTTTGAAAAGATCTGTGGCTCTTCAGTTTCTGAGTTTCATTTGGGGGCTTTTCAAACATTTTCCAAGTATTTCAAGGTTTAAATACTTTTCTTTTTGTCGATCTTTTTACTACAAAGTGAGTAGCTGCTTAGTCTGTAAATGGAGTTTCACCAGCAAYCAGGTGTGCTGTGACAGCCTTGAAATGGAAACTGGGCTTCCAAGAGCTGGTATGGGTCTGGCTGGCATTTCCAAAGGAAGCATTATCTTTTTTTTTTTAAAAAAAAAAAAGTCCCATATGGGTCTTGACTGCTTGCTATGTGTTTGCTTTTGGGGTGGTGTATGCAGTTGTGTCTATGCATGTGGACATACGGCACGTTCTGCCTGTGAGACACCTGCCTTTCACACCTCTGTGCCCATGCCAAATGCCTGTTGGTGCATTTTTAGCAACTTTCTGTGCATGAATATAAGGACAAGTTGACCCAGGCTTCATCTCTGGGAAATATGCCTGGAGTCAGTACCTGCGGGCAGGGAAGGGCTATGGGAGATGCTGGGAAGGGGTTTGCATTTCTCATCATCACACAGCACTAGTGCATTCGTTTTCCTTTGCCATTTCTGTGTCCTGCTCCTCACTGGCTGCAGTAGYCCTGGCTGTGTTTACTGAAGCTGACTGGGCAGACATCTTCCTGTCATGAGCCCAGGTAGAGTCTGCAGCTGCTCACTCATCCTTTTCCTAAGGAGAAGCAAAACTTTCCTGAGCAATAAAAATCCTTACCCTGCTTTCTTCTAGGGCAGCCAGAAGTTGGCGTGGCAATATGCATGTGCAGCCCACTCAGAYATGACAAGAGATGGAAAGGAACTGTCCCCCCGTGCAAATACACGGCATAGAATCCTATAAAGGCAGAAATGCCCTGCAGCCCTGGCAGAGGGGTGACAGGGCTGCAGTTCCCAGCCCTGCTGGCATCAACCCTCGTCCCCACGCAGCAGGTCTGCGGTGCATGGCCAGGCAGGGACTCAGGCACACACACCCAGGCTCTGGCTTTTTCGATCTGGAAGGCAAATCTAGAGCCTGGCTAACAATACTGAACGGTACTAATTATTCTATGTTTCCTTCAAAGCTCRGCTCCAGGAGAGTATTTTAGGATTTGTGCTGGTGTAACTAACCTTAGCCTTCTGTGAACACARCCCTCTTTTATCCTGTGCTGTTAAGTATTTATAAAGAATGAAGGCCGGTAACAGAACRAAGCCACTGGCCTGTTGTGAATTCGGTGATTAAAGACAGTATCATAAACGATGCTCTGAGTCAAGTCCTTAATTTACGGGGATTGTCATTGCCGAGAGTGAACAGTGGGGGGAGGTGCGCTGTGAAATGATGGTTTCCCAACTTCTTCCTTATTCCTTCTGATGATTTCCCAACTTCTTCCTTATTCCTGTCCTTCCACCTCAGTGGCTGAAGTAGGGACTGGTAGGGACAAGCATCTCAGTGGGGTTCAAAGGAATTTCCAGTCTTTTACGGGCAGCTGGTATTTACTGCGATTCCATCGGAGGCTGTCTTGCTCTGGCATCCTACTSGGGAGACCCAGGTCCCAGGCTGAGGAGCAAGCTGGGGAGGGATGTGCTACATGTGGGAGCAGGCTCTGATCCCGGCGTGGTGTCTCCTTTGCAGCGTTGGTGGAGATGGGTCCCTTAGAAGGTTTTGGGTAGTGTTCCCGTGACTGTGGGAGTCAGGCAGCCACATGGTGACACTGCTGTCAGCTACCAGGATGCGTCACGCCCGAAGACAATATTGGCCAGCAGCACCACAGCAGCTTGGAGCTATCAGCTAAAATGGAGCAAATAAATGGGAATAACTAATTGTAGTCCCCACTCCTTGAGGCAAGAAGCTGCCCAAACCTGGGGCATGAAACCCAGAGCGCTGTATTTGGTTGGAAAACTATCTGGAAGGTGCCCCAGGTTTGCTCCTTGTCAGACCCCATGACCTGAGGGGTCAGAAAGGGTGCCCTGGTGAACAGCAGCTGTCCCCGAGTTGGGGGGACTGCCAAGGGTGGGAAGTCGTGTAACACCACCCAACCCTGGAAGGTTTGGAGACCCCTACACTGGGGGCATGGAGATGGCAGCAATAGGCTTGTGCAGAAGTAGGGGGGAGGTAGGCGACACCCTCGGCTCGAAGCACAAGAGGAAAAAAAGAGGTAGAGGGTGCAGCTGGGAAAAAAGGAGCAGCCGAGCCAGCCAGGAGTCGAACCTAGAATCTTCTGATCCGTAGTCAGACGCGTTATCCATTGCGCCACTGGCCCTGCTCGAAAGAGCGATGCTGCCCCCGTGCAGTTCATTGTAACTCTCGCGCGCCGGCTCAGCCAATGGTGGCGCCGCTGAGCCCGCCCCGCCCCACCCCCTCCCGCCATAGGCGGCACCCCGCCCTGGGCTGGCCAGCGCGCCCGCGGAGGTTTGTCCCGAGCGGGGCCCCGTCGCTCCGGCCCAGGGACGCGTCAGTCGGGCAGGGAGGGAGCGGCCGGGTCGGAGCGGAGCCGGCGGCGGGGCCGGGGACTGCCCGAGGGGACGGATGGCGACGGCGGCACCGGCGGGAACCACGGCAGCGGCGGCCTACGCCAGCCTGAAGCTGTGAGTGACCCGTTGGGACTGGGGGGTCGCGGCTCTGGCACCTGCCAATGGGGAGGGGAGGAAAAGGCAAGGGAGGAGCCGCCGGTGGGGCGACGGTCGCCCGTCCCTTGCTATCCCCTGCCCTCCCCCGGCCTGTCGCCTGCCCTTCCTGCCCGTCTCGGCTCTCCTGCCCCCCGGGTGACCGTGAAGGGCTTGGCCTGAGGTGGCGGCTGCGTGCGGGAGGGCGGGAGGAGGAGRAGGGAGGACTTTGGCCGCGGACACGGGTCCCCTGTCGCCGTCCATCCGATAGCGCTGCGGGCTGGCGGCTCTCGGGTCTGTGTCGCTTCCCTCCCGCGTGTCCTGGAGGTCAGTGCCTGTGGGGCGTCCCTCTGAAGCGTGAGAAGCTCCGTGCCTGCTGGTTCCGGAGTCTCTTYTCTGGAGRCGTTCCAAACCCACCTGGAYGCGTTCCTGTGTCACCTGCTCTGGGGTGATCCTGCCTTGGCAGGRGGGYYGGACCAGATGATCTCCAGAGAGCYGTTCCAACCCTWGCAATTCTGTGATTCTGCCTTGCTGCTTGCAGGTGGATCTGCTGTGGAGGCTCGGGCATTGGTGTAAGGCTGTGTGTGTGCAGCGCCGCTTGCCAGCAGAAGGTTCCCTAGGCGTGCTTGTCCATCGGCCTCCCTTAACACAAATGGTTTTTTTTTTTTTGTAGTGTGTGATGGTTTTGATGCCAGTTGGTGACTGAACTTTGAGGGCTTTGAACTTTCGGAACTCTCCTGTGCAGTGCTGGCTATGACTTTTACAAATAAATTCTTCTAACTACTTGGTGTAATTTTTTTATTTAAAAAAAAWWTTTTTTTAAAGGGAGAAWGTAACCCTTTGAACGTGTGTATGCCACTTGTTTGTTTGCTGATTTTAATACAGCAGAAGTTGCATAACCAAAAGCAGTGCAAAGTTAACACTGCAAGAGGAGTCTCCATTATAAATCTTCACACCAACCGGTTCAAACTCCCAAGGACATTTCTCTGAGCATGAGACTCTTCATGACTATCTGAAGCCAAAAGTGAAGCATCTTTGTGTCCTAAGGGCGTTCCCAGGCTTTTGACCTCTAAAAAGTAGCTSGAAACAACGTAATTGAGTTACCGATGCCGTTTTCAGGCAGCAGTATTTGAAARTGATTCTTAAGCCTGATTTAACTGTACTTTATGCTCTGTTAAATTTCACTTGACAGTCATCTTTTGGATTCAGAGCAAACATACGTAGTTCTTTTGGATGTCTGTATAAACAGCTTGCCATAATGCTGTTACGTGTTTCAAAGTCACTGGGCTTGTTATTTTGGTTAGTTATTTGAGGGTACACAGGCCCTGGAGATAATTGAGTATTGCAGAAGAGTAACATCATCAGTGATAGCTGCAAGACTTTTCACTTGGCAGAAAGCTTTTGAATTTTTTTTCCTTCTCATCTAAACAGTATTTGTCTTTCTTTAAGCTGATCTTGTGATCTTTTTGCCTGCAGAGAAGCAAAGGTGAGTTGTGTGAGTAGCAGTCGTGTGACTTGTAGCACACAGTTGTTCTTAGTGAGAATTTTTTCAAGTAAAAGTGCTTTTCTGGATACAGGCAAGTAAAGAATTCTCTCATTCAAAGTTTAATCTTGGCTAAAAGTAAGCTTTGATCTTTTTAGAACAAGGCTGTCTCAGATGTAGTTTAACATGAATTTTTTCATAAACATGAAAACCGAATTGTTTTGTGTTCTGAAAAGTGAGCTTTTTTTTTTTTTTCCTTGTCATTACACTTAAGTTGTGATAATGGCTGCAGATTTTCTACCAAGCATTTGAAGATGCAGGGCTATAACTTGGGTGTTGAGTCAAACCTACCAGGTTGTCAAGGTCAAAGGAGAACGTTTTTCTGAAAAATCCAGTCTAGACT